AAAGAAAAGAAAAGAAACAAAAAAAATTAAAAATGTAAAAGACGAAATTGCCCTTATTCCGATCGCCGGAACAGTGACGTGCTTGCCGGCCGGTGAGCATTTGACCGGCCGGCGAACTCAGGCCCTTACTTGAGACTAATTGGGCACTTCGGGCTCCTATTTGAGATTGATTTGGCACTTCATACCCTTATTTGACACTATGTCCACTTTGGACCCCTTTTTGAGAAAATGACCCCACTTTGGGTACTGATTTGAAATTTTCCCTTTTTTGTTTTAGAAAAAGAAATTTGAGAAATTTGTGCTAAGTTAAAGATTTTCTCAGACAATAATGAGAAAGGACACCAATGCCCATCTTGTGTGCTGAAAATTGAAGTATACCGGACTGCTGCTTTAAATATATCTTATTTTACATGCTGGAATTTTCTTAGAACTCCCTATCAAGAAGAAACTAAATTATCAAACCACAAGATACCTCACTAATCTTTATATGTGAAGTAATACACAAGTCAATGCACGACACAAACGAGAAAGTTTATCGAGAAAACTTCAACCATACAAACATGATTAACTCAAAAGGCCTCCATTTGTCATTTGATTTTACGCATAAGCCATCGCTCTCTGGTTGTGCACACGACATTAGTTCTTCACATGGTCCGTCGCGATATCTAAAGTATGAATTTAAAGTCAACTATATCTGAATCCATTTTGATGAAATGCACAATAGAAGTTGGTAGTTGATTCTGTTTCTCCCTTGTAATTTCAGCCGAGGCACTTGGGTACACCAAGGCAATCCCAGCATTTCTTGACCCGAAGCTGACCAAATCATCTCTGCTTCATGGGGTTAGTTTTGCATCCGCTGCTTCTATGTATGACGATGCCACAGCCATTTCTCGGTGAGCTTTGTAACTTTAATTTTTTTTATGAAATTACTGAAATATATTTCGCAAATATTTATTGACGAATTGGTTTGATTTGTGGATAGAGTGTGCTCTCGTTATCGAAGCAGCTGGAGTATTTTCTGCATTACAAGCTCCACCTGAGTAAGTTGGTGGGTGGGAAGAAGGCAGAAGAGATCATCAATAATGCAGTGTTCATCATGAGCATGGGAACTAATGACTTCCTCCAGAATTACTACCTGGACCCAACTCGCCCCGAGCAGTACTTGCAAGCCTATCTAAACTTTTTTATCTCTTGCATGTCTCGTGACATTCAGGTTCCTCTCTCTCTCTCTCTCTCTCTCTCTCTCTCTACACGCACAATGTCAAATTCTTGTCTAGACTGAGTCCATGTAGATAGGATGAATCACAACCAATGGCTATGGACTCACGATATGATCAATAACCTAGCTTCACCCGATCCAGCATGGAGCAGATCTGGTTAAGTACTTCGCCATCCGTGTGCTCACATGTACATGGATGGGAAATTGATACTTTAGTTCATTATGCACAACAAAACTAACTAAATATCAGAATATGCGAGACTCTTGATAGTAATGAGCCCATCACACGCATCCTCCTACCCTTTTCTTTAGTACACCTGTATTAAGAAATGGACGACAAGCAAGCACAGAGAGAATCGGTATCCTTTTAAGTCGCGAGCGAATCTATCGACCACTAATTTAGGCAGGTCGGGGCAAGGTCATTCCATGGTAATGCCGGTCCCATTTTACGGGGCATGCGAAAGTGAAAAGGTTTCCATCGATGACTATGGATCTGTTGGGTTCCTCAAGTGCTAAAAACGCAACGGAATTTATAAATCGAAACCCTAAACAGGATCCATGCGTATATTGAAATCTAAACAGAAGTTCGACACGTATTTTTTTGCAGATCGAAGGTAAATTGATAATCGATTGTGTCTGGATTAGCACCCCAAGTATTGCGCCTCTACCGGTATCCACACACACGAACGAAAGTCTCCAACGATCCAAGTGCTAGCTAAAGATCTTGGACTTCTTTTTCCCGATTGCCTTTAATCTTCGAGACTCTCTCAAAGATCTCTGAATGGAGAACGATTCTCTTTGCATTCTCTTGGAGGTGTTTTTTCTTAGGGTTTTTTGTCACCCACATGCTATATATATATATATATAGCCTCATTATCTACGCGAATTAAAAGAAGTGGGGCTGGACAATTTGGGCTTGCCAAACTGTCCACATTCAATCGTACGTTTAATTGTTATCTCATAACGTACACGACCGCGTAGATAAGTTGAATAGGAGAATAAATTAAATCTACTTCTTATTTTAAATAGATCCCGGCGCACAGAAAATATTAACTCAATTCGTTATTGTGTGCGACCCTATAGGTTCACTAAATATTAGCAGTGTGCTCAAAACCCTTTTTGATCCACAAGTCATAAGCGGTCTCTAGCAAGACATTATGACTACCTAAGTATAGTGAAGGTCGGTTTCCCGACACAACCTAAACCATAACTAATATTAAAGTATCAATCTTGATTGATTCCTAGGACAGATCACTAACAGGATCTTCTTTCTATCTCCCTTGTTTGCAGATGGCAGTGGACGGACAGAAGCATAAAGGCTGTAGTAAATGGGGTCCTGCAAAATGTAACGTCCATATGAGGATGATCTGTCTATTTGCCCATCTCGCGTTGCAGGAAATGCACAGATTGGGGGCTAGGGGATTGATCATCGCCCGGGTCCCGCCTCTGGGATGCATGCCACTTGTCAAAACCCTAATGGACCCGACCACTTGTTCCCAAGACTACAACAAGATATCTTTCTCGTTCAATTCTCTGATCCGGAGAAAACTGGACTCTCTGAGGAAAAGCATGGGGCTGAAGACTGGCTTCGTGGATACTTATGCCGTCATGCAAGACGCGATCAACCGCACCGACAGATACGGTCAGTGTGCGCCATGCATCAAAGCTTGCGATGCCAACCTACATCTTCAACGTGTTCATGTCAAGCATACAAAGAGACTGAGTTTGTCGTGAAATATGGCAGGTTTGACGGAGACGAGCAAAGGATCCTGTGGAACAGGAACGGTGGAGTATGGGGACACGTGCAAAGGGGCTGACCACTTGTTCCGAGCCGGAGAAGTATGCCTTCTGGGACGCTGTTCATCCTACTGAGAAGATTTTCAAGATCCATGCTCTCAAGGCCATTGCATCTTTCGACGAAAACCCTCTTGCCTAGAACACGTCTCCGATGTTAAACTAGGGAGGCAGTCGACGTATACTGCATTTGGGATTTCCGATTTGCATCGTCGAATTCGTCTTACTCCTAAGACGCGATTCTCCACCAAGGTGGGCATGTGATTTCGACGTTCGATGTATATTGTTGACTTGCATCTCCATCGAGTAATATATATGGCCGAGAGTCCACTTCTAGGGTTAAATTAGGATGTGTCGTCCCTCAATGTTTCGGTTCTTTTGCTAACGAGAATAGTCTATTTGTTCCCATTTTTTGATCCACCAACTTCTATCCGATTCAAGTGAAATTCTTACATTCAGAAACACAAAATTCATAAATTAAGCTAGGGTTCCCAAGTGTATAAGAACGTTTATAGGTGGGTGTCACTTTATGGTCCAATTTATGTTGTCGTATAATGATGTAAGACCATAGAAAATTTAGAAATCACCATTCTTCACCAAGACTAAGAATCCAGTCGGTGTTGCCATATATTGGATTATTTTTGCTTGCTAGAATTTCGAGTAGGCCCGTGGCCGATCTCTTTTGCTGGGTCATTGAGGCAGCCCCACCGGCTGGTGAGCAGCCTAGTAAAGCAGGTGATTTTCATTAAGTTATATCTGATGGTTGACATCTAGGCTTCCCATGTGGCCATTTTTTTGCAGCCGAGTTATCTCTACTTCTGCGCTCAGTCATTTGACATTTTCATGGCATTGGGATTTCAGAGCATTCTTGCAATTAATGAGGTAGGTGCTAGATGGGGTGATTGGATTTCCATCGTTAGATAGGAGATCTACACTTACTAATTTGAGGAGCTCAGTGTATAAAATATTAGGTAGGTGAGTTTTGCCACGTAAACGGTAAGATATTTTACTTATTAATCGTCACATCTCCAAATGGGGTCCACGTTTCAGATTTTGTCTCTTTATCTCTCTCCTCCTCCTCCTCCTCCTCTCTCCCTCTCGCCTCTTTCTCCTCCTTTCCGCTTCTTCATCTTCTTCTCCTTGCAGGCAACATCTACTTCCACATTGACTACGGCTCAACCATGTCTGATTACTTCTTCATAGGCAGCTCCTCTTTCGTCATTAGTCCACTCATTGATTTTTTGTCCGAGCCCGAGCCCAAGCCATAAGGGTCGAGCCCTTACAAGATCCAGCGTGGTTGGCCCTCACTAAAGGCCACGAGGGCGGCCCCTACGAAATTCTGCGAGACTAACCCTCGCCCAAGCCCTCAATTGAGCCCTCGCCTTTTGCTGGCGAGGGTCGCAATGTCCTCGCTTGTGGTCGATCACCGGCCATGTTCGAGTACAGGCCACAGGCCAAAGGGAAAGAAAGGGAAAAAGAAAAAAGAAGAGAAATTTAAAAAAAAATGAAGATTCGATGAAGAAGATAAAGAGACTAACCAGTGAGGCCCACTTGGACATGTGGCAGCCGTTGAATGGAGTATCCTATCGCCTACGTCGCAAGACTAACCTACGTAATATTTTAAAGCAGTCTTTCGACGTAATAGAGTGACTCGATAGGTTATAGGTATTAGATGTACATTATCATGGAAAAACAAAAGTTAATCTAGGTTCTTTTGGGCAACAATCGTTAATTTTTTCGTTTATTCTAAGGAAAAGAGTTCACAATGTTAGAGAGAAAAACAAAATAGAAGATTCAAATGATTGTAGGATCAAATAGCCGAAAAATTGCCTTTATATGCGGGGAGCAAAATGGCATTGATTTGGGCAGGGTCATCGGTTCGTTCCCGTATATGTTTTGACTCCATCTTTCCGTGGATTTCGGCCCCACTAAATTTTTGAAATTGCAAACTTGACCACGTTAAAACTTAAAAAGGCCCGAATGAGTCCAAGAAAAGCCCAAGATCTAGAAATCACATTCACTTGAAAAAATTGGTAAGTTCAATGAAATCTAAGTCTAGCATTTCTGTGAAATTATGTTTTTCAGGCACGCTTAAAACTAGAAGCATAAAAGACGCTTTCGAACTATCACAGGCTATATAACATTACGAAACTCGAATCAAAGTGTGCTAGTCTTGAATGACAGCATCAACGACGGGGCGAAGCGACTGAAAGAGCAGGTGATAAGTCTTCTCCGTGGGGTGTATGGAATCCCAGAACACGTATCTGGATGCATCTGGGCACACGAACGACTTGGGGTTGCACATGAACGCTGCTTCCAGCAGCCCAGTCCCACAGCAGCCGCTTAGAGCTTGATCGAATCCTGCATGGGTTTCGGATCCAAAGTTCAGTAGAAGAGAGAGAGAGAGAGAGATCCGATCAAACGAGAAAGAGGGTGAGATCGAGGGACTCGCCATAGCTCGGGGACCTCTGGATCATGTCGCTCAAGGGTTGGTATATGTCTGCGTAATAGAATCTGGAGCCTTGAGTTGCCAAGCTGCTTTGCATGGAAGCCAATTCCGTCCGGAGGAGCGCGTTGTAGTCTCTTGCCACCGATGAGTACTGGTCCATGCAACCTCTCTGCAGGACGGCGTTCTTCGAGTTGAGTGTGATCATGATGGGCAAGCAGCCTATCGGAGGCAGACCCACCACGGCTATCCTTCTTGCTCCTTCCTCACACAAACCCTGAATTAAGGAAATTAAAGAGGGAAAAATGGAAAAAAAAATTAGAGTCAAGTCGAAAATAAGTGCAAATCAACCCTGCAAAACTAGAACTATCCCAATTAAATCCATAATGTCTGAAACCTTTCGATTGACGCAATCGATCCAAATCCTACACCTTCTCTCAAAAGTGCAATTAAGCTATTTGCTTGCTGTACATGACGGGGCTTATAGTTGCACTTCTTGGTAAAAGGCTTAGGACTTCACTTTTGCTCTTTGAAAATTTTAGAATTCAATCGTCATTTCTTGTGATTTTAAGATTTCATTGCAACCAATTCAAAGGGATTATGACTTAACAACATTTCTTTTAATTTAGGTTTAGGACTCTCCCTCTATTGATTAGTGAACTCTTGAAGGTGTACTGACATGAGTACTGATTCTTAGGCTTGATGGGGTTCTACCTGACGGGACCGAGAGCTCGTTGATTAGTGACGACTAGTCTCAACAGCACCACCAACTTATGAGACCCACCTCTTCAATTGCGGATAATCGTTCTCAACCACCTCCCTCGGTGCCCCAACCACAAATTGAAGATGGAGAACTTTCATGAGCTTTATATAAAAAAGCCAACAATATATGCCATCAAATCCCAAAATATTCTAAATCGCTTTCGATCCAGTCATTTCGATGTCTGGCCGATCACAATCTCGATCGTTAGCTTATGTGGACGCTGAAAAACACCGCATTAGACATAAGGGTGACTTTGGTGCGTTTTTTATATAGGTCACTCAATTTCATACAACTTTCATTTTTGGTCACTTAACTTTTAATTACTAACTTACCTATTCAATATAGGTCACTTAACTTTAAATTTTGCTTTTAAGCGTTATCTATATCGCGTCTATATGATGGTCCTTGATGACCGAAATTAATGAAGTTGAAATGGAGGGGGGTAATTTGATGTCAGCATTGTTGAGGACAATGCAGCGTCAAAGAGAATGATATACCTTAATGAGGTCTTTCACGTTTTGCAACAAGAATTGCTGGTAGGTGGCGACGGTGAAGCTCTGCCGCCGGATGGGGACGGTGAAGTAATTGACGACGAAATCGTTGGTGCCGGCGCTCACGAGGAAGACGGCCTTGTTGATGTGGTGCGTCGTGCTTTGCTCCCCCATAGTCGACGTGAGCCGCTTCTTGTACTCTTTGAAATACTCCAGTTGATTTGGCAATGACACCACGTTCTGCAAATTGTTCGAACACACACACAGTCTTTAATATATAATTGGAAGAATGAAAAAGAACACTTTAGGAGACCATCTTCAATCTATGGCTTGTGCATTTTCTGGTGTGTGCGCTGGTGATAGCTTTTCTTCTCGTTTACGAGCCATTCGGCGGCAGATGGTTGGCCTAGTGCCGGCACCGGCAACCTTGCAGAATAATGTCATCGTTGAAACCAACTATGGTCGATGCCTCGACAGTGACATTTATTGCTTATGTTTGAGGATCTTGTTCTCTAAGCATATGTTTAAGGATCTTGTTCTCTAAGCCAAAAATAGAAGGAAATTTAGAGAGAGAGAGAGAGAGAGAGAGAGAGAGAGAGAGAGAGAGAGAGAGAGAGAGAGATACGCTAAGCTTTGCTGTTAAAGGGTCGTATCCAGAACCAGCAGAAGCAAAGCTCACACCAGTCTTCAAATCCTCAAAGCTAAGACTTGGTTCCAAATACGGTGGCAGGTAGTCTTTAATCCCGATATACGATGCTGCATAAATTCAGAAAATCATTACAATATATTCAGCGCTCTTTTAAAGATTCATGCAGCTTATAGCAAAATGTGCTTTCTGATATCTTGCAGTTTGTGCGGGCGAGAGAGTCAGAGAGACGTGGCCAACACCATAATTCCCAAAAAGAAGAAAACTCTGACTCACCAATGTAATCGGTAGCGAGCCGGCCGTTTGTGAACCTTCCAGTCGGCACCCCGTTGGGGAAATCCCTGCCGTATGGCGGGAAATCACTCTTGAACACCGTCCTCACGTAATTATTGTTCCCGGGGTCGACCGTCGAGTCCCCGAAGACGAACATGGCCGAGACCGTGTTGTTCAAGGCCCGCACTCTCTTCGAGGAGAGAGCTTGATGGGCACGCAGGGATAGAAAGAAGACAAGGGCTCTCAAGAAGAAGCGTTGGGCATTGCATGAACGATCCATCTTCATCTTTGGTCAAGGAAGTGGTCGAGAGCAAGGAGTGACAGGGACTCCGTTTATATAGCTGCATTCTGGAGGGTGAGTTCCTGCATGAGTTTGGACGGGACGTGGAAGAAGTGGGTCAGCTTACAAGAGGAAATTTATGGCTACTTAGGCATGGTTGTCTGTTTCTTGCATCTCTGGTTGGTTGGCTATGGTTTGGAATTTATACATTTGTTAAGTCTTTATGTCTCTCTCAACTACCTTCGTACTGGAGCGAAGGCATATTCATCACTAGGTAAAGAAGATATGTTGCTTCAAGAAGAATTAAGTTGTGCAAGTTATCATGGCTAGGGTGTAACATTTCTTGTCCCACATACAGAGAATGTCTTCGTAAAAAGGAGTCTGTTATTAGTATATGAAAGATTCAAAATAGAAGACATTAGATTAATTGAATTTGATTTAGCCGGGCTTTGATATAAAGAATTTTAGCTAAAGAAAACTTAAGCTAATCAATGGAGAACGTGCGCATATGATGATGAGACCCTTTTTTTACTCCATGCGCGAATTTATCTAACGACACCTACATGTGTACACCTAGTTCGTTTTTAGCCGAATTTCTCACGCTCTAGCCAAGACCCTCGATTTTTATCCCCCAACATCTCCAGGAAAATTCCTTAAGTCAAGCAAATCATGAGTAACATTTGTCGAATTGGGGTCACCAATCCAACACACGAGAATGCAAGCATCACTGTCAACAACGCGCTCGAGTTTTGAATATTCGCACCTTGTATACCTAAGGCGCTCCTATCGTTCCGTGACTTAATCATGTTGTAATTATGCGTTATTAATGAATTAACATTAGTTCACATTCTTCAACTCTCGTGCGGCTTTAACGGACGTGTTAATGGACGAATTAAAGGACGCGTTAAATTGATGCATTTCTTTAGTACAACAATTTCATGACATGTTAATGAATAGATTAATGGACGTGTTAACGAACGCCTCTCTTTGGCTCTCACACGTGGACGCATTAATAGACGAGTTAATGACACGTTAATGGATAGATTAATGGATGCGTTAACCGACGCCTCTTTTTGCTCTCTGGACGCATTAGTGGACGAGTTAACGCCACTCTTCAGCCCTCTTGTAACAGTTTTGTGCATGCGTTAAAAAAAATTTCGGATTTCTTCATTTCACAATAATTAGTTCGAAGTCTTTCTTCAATACCCAATGAGATAGAGTTTTTCGGATAAGAATTCTTCTTTAGAAATCCACTCCTCTAAGTGTACTGGTTTTGAGAAGTGTTCGATAGAGTCGTATTCATATAATATTAATACAAACGGATTCGAGGTATTGTATTTTAGGAGGCATAGTTCGTGAAGCTGCTTAGCACCATTGACAAGAACTAATCGCCTTAAGGAGATTCAATTAGCCGTACCTCACGTTCCGTTGAATTTCCCGTTAATTTTATTAAAAACAAACAATTCGGCATCTTTATGTATTAAAGATTATATAAACATTGGCTTGGTCGTTATTATATTGTATTTGTTATCGCTATTATCTCTTTCTATATTTTTTTATTACAACAAACGGTATCGGCGTTACCTATATGGTTGTTTCGAACAAACCATTCATTCACTTGTATCCACTTCGTAATGATGACTTGACGACAACGTCGACGGTTTTACAAGAATTCCATGTATACCTAATCTACGTCCTTGCACACACATTCATTCCTCCGTTTCGGATCATCACAAAGTCTCTCCATTGTCTTCTTGGGGACAAATCACAGTTCCCGACATCTCTTTGGACTCTTTTCTCTTCTTGTGAATAGAGCCTCTCTCGTCTTCTTCGCCTGTCTGCGTTTAACCTTCTATCTCCACGTACCCCCTGAAACTTTTGGCAATTGCATGAACGATTCATCTTCATCTTTTGATCACAGACTTCACTTAGCAGAGAGAAGCAGCCAACACTCTCTTTTGTCTCCAGCCTTCCAAGCCTCCAATTCAGCATCATATACATAACTTTACCTCTGGAAATGGTCCAATTTCACGTTACTTGTCGTATCAACTCGCCTCCAAAGTCCTACGTCGCAGCTTCACATGTGTAGATGTAAAGTTCACATTCATCCGAGACGTGTAGGTCAGAATGGCTTCGCTAGACTGCAGATAGTTAATTTAATTTTGTACTTTATAGCTTGGTTTAATTCCATGCGAGAATATATATAATATATGGTCCTTACGAACTGCAACTTGCAGGTGAGTATAGTCCACACCTATTATAATTCATATTTAGTTGGGTTTGCTATTCTAAATTCACAACAACCCGTTATTCAAATTTTACTAACACATATACGACTTAGCTCACTAAATATGAGTTTAAAAAATGGGTTTTTGACCCATTTTGACACCTCTAAGGTAAGTATACATGCATTTTGTGACAACAATGACATAATTACGTACACCTAAATACTTATAGACAATTGAATTGGTAGCTCTCGTGAGAGATTAATCAGGTTCAACATGTGATTTACCGGCTTTAGTAGTTCAAATAGATCTAGATTGCATGGAACCGGCCAACATAATTGCTTTTCGTGCATATAACCCTTGAGATTACATCTTGTGATATTGATACGTGGAGCAATGTTTGATGCCTTCTTAAGATTATGTTTGTAAGAAGGAAAAATGACATAAATGGTCTTTGAACTTTGACCAAATGTGCAATGTCTTCTCTAAATTTTTACTTTGTTCAATATGATCCATGAATTTTAGCCCAATATTCAATGTGATCCCTGAACTTTTAGTACATACTCAATTTAGCTCCTAAACCATATTATAATATTCAATGTTACCCGTGAACTTGAGTTAATATAAGGATAACACTGGATGTTTGCATATAGTCTAGAGACCAGATTGAACATTCACCAAAAGTTCAGGGATTACATTAAACAAATTACAAATTTAGGAACCTTATTGCACATTGAAATAAAGTTTAAGCATCACACTGAATAAATTAAAAATTCAGGGACCACATTACATATCTAGTCAAAGTTTAAAGATCATTTGTGTAATCATCTCCGGTAAGAATTGAGAGGCTTGGATGAAATTGCGATTTCGGTCTCTTTTTCGTGTCTTGTTTGGCAACGGTACGGCGGCAAAAACACCATCTCCTCCAATTTATTGCTTTTGGTGGACCGAATCTGGAATGAACATGAAGGACAATCATTCATTGTCATCGTCCTCTTATGTTTCGGGAAAAAATACATCGAATCTCCTAAACTATTTTACATGTTTAAATCCTAATAATTTCATTTCATTAAAAGTACCGTAAAATATTTTTCACATGGGTAATCCTAAAAATGAAAACATCCATATTTGCAAAGTCTTGCTGATGTGACGGTCGCAGTCATTCTTGCCGGCGACGGTGCTCGTCTAACCACTAATTTTGCAATAGCTTCTTGAGAAGTGAGTTTAATTTTCCCGTTAAGCACCTATTATTATTTTTGACAATAAAGAAGGACCTGACACTCAAAGAAAGTACTTTTCTGAGTTATTAATCTATCATAATTGGTTTATAGAAAGAAAAAATTACTAGGCATGGCCAAAGAGAGTTTAGGAAACTTATTGTTTGTCGAATAGATCCTGTCGATGTTTACTTGAAGTACTTTTCAACTTGTATATACATAGAATTAATTGTTGTTGAATTATAATAGAATTAATTGTTGTTGAATTATAATTTGGGATAATAACTTAAATAGTCCTTGAATTGACCTAATATGTAATGTGATCCATAAACTTTTAATTTGTTCAATATGGTCCGTGAACTTTATCCCAATATGCAAGGTGGTCCACGAACTAACATTGAACATTTTCATATAGTCTATAGACTAAATTGAATATGCACTAAAAGTTCATAAATCATATTGAATAATCTAAAAGTTCATGAACAACATTGCACATTTGGTTAAAGTTTATGAACCATATTGAACATACTAAAAATTCAGGAATTACGTTGCATATTAGGGCAAAGTTCAGAGACATGTGTGTCGTTTTTCCTTATAGTTTTAACAATGAAAAGAGGCGTAGACAAAAAGAGGAGTAAAAATCATTTATATAAGACAGTTGGCCGATGATCGATTTTTTCTTTCACGTGTAATGAAAACATGATAAGAAGGGGATGCAAAACATGTGCGTCTTTTGGGATGACATAAACATTGTCGTTCTCATTTTGCTATCAATAATTGCAACCAGGGCACGGATTCTGCAACTAAAAGTTCTTTAATTTTGATGCATGTCATGTCACGTTTTATACAGTGTTTAGATAGAAAGTCGCAATGAATTGGATGACAAGGCTTGTCAGATCACACTTAACAGTTTGGCCAAATGAAAAGCACAAAACTGCCACATTCATCGAAGAAGTTATTACAGTGGTCCCTGACTGAAGATTGAGACTCCTTTTTTTTTAGGAAAAATAAATACTTTGAAATATTTTTTTAAAAAAATGATTATTTATATCGCTTAAAATAAGTCTCGTTAGATGACACTCAACAATTTAGCTAATAGAAAAGCACAAAACTGCCACATTCATTGAAGAAGTTATTACGGTGCTCTATGACTGAAAATTTAGGCTCTCTTTTTTCTCGCAAAAAATATGTAATTTGAGAAATTTTTTTCTAAAAATGATTGTTTGTATCGCTTAAAATAATTGGTCAATGAAAAATATTTTCATTATCAATAATAATTTGTCTAAACATTTTCGTAGACAATGAAATTATTTTTTAGTCATTCATTTTTATAAGCAATACAAAAGATCATTTTTAGGAAAATATTTTCCGAATCATTCATTTTCCGTAAATCACAGCCCAAAAGGTTCTGCCCGAGTTATAGATAAGGTCGGATAGTGGTCCAGATACGTTGCCAAATTAGAAAAAATTCCTAATTTAGGGTATCTTAGAATATTGCGGATATCGCAAATATTATCCTAAGGTATCTAATCAATCACACAATATTCACGGAATATTCAAAATATTCAAACTAAGAATTTAAATATTTTGAAAGTATACCGGATAGAGATT